TTAAGGACTGGGGTTGCCCCTTTGGCGCCGAAACCGGAGTCTCTGCTGTGTGTTCCTGTCGCTCCTAGTGTGTCGCTTACCTTTTTTTTTTTTTTTTTTTTTTTTTTGAGACAGAGTCTTGCTCTGTCGCCCAGGCTGGAGTGCAGTGGTGCGATCTCAGCTCACTGCAAGCTCCGCCTCCCTGGTTCATGCCATTCTTCTGCCTCAACCTCCCGAGTAGCTGGAACTACAGGTGCCCGCCACCAAGCCCAGCTGATTTTTTTGTATTTTTAGTAGAGAAGGGGTTTCACCGTGTTAGCCAGGATGGTCTCGATCTCCTGACCTCGTGATCTGCCCGCCTCAGACTCCCAAAGTGTTGGGATAATAGGCGTGAGCCACTGCACCTGGCCTACCTTTGTTTTACTAATAAAAGATGTCGCTGGGCCACTGCTACTTGATGCAAGGCATTTCTTTTTACATTTATTACATTTTCTTTTTTAAATTGAAACATAAAAGTTGTATATATTCATGGTATACAACATAGTGCTTTGATATATATACCCATTGTGAAATGGCTACATCAAAGCTAATTTAGCTAACAAATGCATTACCTCACAGACTGATGGGTTTTTAATGGTGAGAATGCTTAAAGTCTACTCTTAGCAATTTTCAAGTACACATTATATTATTATTAACTACAGTCACCATGATGTATTGTAAACCTCTTGAGCTTATTTCTCCTAACTGAAATTTTCTGCCATTTGGCCAACATCTCCCCAGTCCCCCATCCCCAGCCTCCTGTAACCACCACTTTATTTCTTTGGGTTCAACTTTTTTAGATTCCACATGTAAGTGAGATCATGTAGTATTTGTCTTTCTGTGTCTGGCTTTTTTCATCTAACATAGTATTCTCCAGGGCCATCCATGTTGTTGCAAATGACAGGATTTCCTTCGTTTTCAAGGCTGAATGGTATTCCATTGCATACAAATGCCACATATACTTTACTCATTCATCCACTGAGGACACCTAGGATGGTTCCTATCTTGGCTATTGTGAAAAATACTGTATGACTATGGGAGTGTGACACTGCCAGTGTTAAATGTCTTGTGTCTCTGCTGCCTGAAGAATAAAAACAAACTCCTTAGCATGGGATTCTGTTTGCTTTGTCTACAACCTCCTTCTAACGATATCCAGTATATCAAGGAGAAGAAAGAAGTGTAGCCTGGAGAGGAAGGTGGCCAAAAGTCTCCCTTTCCTATGACCTTGCTCCCCAGCCACAGCAAGGGACCAGATCATCAAAACACAGGCTGGCCAAGTTCCACATTCTGGTTCATCTCACTGTTATCCAGATCCCTTTTTATCAACAGGAAGCATCAGCTCTGCAGTAACTGTTATATGGTCCTGCAAGAACCAAGAAAGAACAGCTAACTGGCCCATAAGGGGATTGAACTCACATATTCAGCCTCATTAGGAACTACTTTCTAACCAAGAGATGCAAACAACTAGAGAAACAGCATTAGCCAAACAAAACACAATGAAAGAAAAATAAAAGCACTGTATTAAAAACTGACCTCTACCACAAGAATGATGTTGATTGGACGTGAAGCTGTTATTTGTCCAGATGTATAGTTCTAAGTACATGTGACATGTCAGCTGCTTACAGATCATTGGCTTCCTCCTCACATATCCAGCACAAAATCCACATGAAGTGACAGAGGGAAGAAATAGCATTGTCTTGGGTTCCGCTCCCAAAACCACCTTGACAAGTCAACTGACAGCGGAAAAATCCCAGGCTCCGTGGAGGTTCCTGATTTTCATAACATTAGCCCTGCATTTCAAGGAAAGGCATTGCAAGATGATCAACAGTGAACTTGGCAAGGGAGCAGTGGTTCTGTGCACAAGCAGCAGAAATGCTCTTTGCCTTTCTTACATTTTGTGGACTCTTACTGTTCAGTCTCATGAGTGGGAATTTAAGCGGGAATGAAATATAATCTGGGTGGATTCCCTTAATCATATTATGCAGGTAAATGTCAGCTGGCTTGGTACCCTATCCAGAATCCAGAAAAAACAGGCTCAGGAAGGGAAACAGGGAGAGGAAGGCGGAAGAGGGTCTGCCATAGCCGTTTCCAACCACAGCCCAAGTCTGTCCCTGGTCCAAGTCCCCTGCAGAGAAGGCTTCCAATAGCAGCAGCCACTTTGGGCCATGCCAAACGACTGGGGAGACACAGGGCCTCTTGGGACTCCCTCAGGAAGGCCCCCATGCTCTGGGATCCAGCGACCTGTCTGGCTGTCTTGATTCTGTCCTCATGTGGAAGCTTCTCCCGTGTAGGATTGGATACATTTACCAATTGGACACATTACTAGATTCACATGTTTCTTCCTTTTCAAGACATTAGTGCCCCATTAGTTACTCCTGACATTTTCAATTAGCAACCATTTCTGCAAAAAAGCAAGTTCAAGAGAAATGCAAATGTATATTAGGGATGTCTGATGTTTTAAAACTCAAAATAAAAATAGCTTTATGGACACCCATAGAAATACATATTTTGAAAATATCTTAGTACTTTAGTGAACAGAAGAAGTGTGGTCATGAGAATAATAGTGTTGTTTTCAGATGGTAAAGATCCTCATCGGCCGGATGCGCTGGCTCATGCCTGTAATCCCAACACTTTGGGAGACCGAGGTGGGCAGATCCCGAGGTCAGGAGATCGAGACCATCCTAGCCAACATGGTGAAACCCTGTCTCTAGTAAAAATACAAAAATTAGCTGGGCGTGGTGGCAGATGCCTATAGTCCCAGCTACTAGGGAGGCTGAGGCAGGAGAATCGCTTGAACCCAGGAGGCAGAGGTTGCAGTGAGGTGGGATCATGCCACTGTACTCCAGCCTGGGAGGCAGAGATGCCATCTCCAAAAAAAAAAAAAAAAAAAAAAAAGATCAGTGTATACACACAGAGCTGTAATACAGGCCGATTTCTAAGGCCTTCATGGTGCCTTACAGCCACACAGTGTGACACAATGACATGTGCCATCCTGGAGCAGGGCGTCTCACCCTCCCCATTCTCCACGGTCTGGCTGGAGAAAGCTTTGTGGCGGCGCCTGTGCCCTGCAGGGTCTCCAGCAGCATCTCCACTCCTACTCACTAGATGCCAGCAGCCTTCTCCCACTTGGGACAACCAAAGATGATTTCAACCATTGCCAAATGTCTGGCTGAGGGTGGAAGGTAATGATGAGTGTCCCCCCACACCCAGCCCATTGAGGACCACTGTACTAGAGGTATTATGATGATCCCCAGGCTGCAGTCAATATGAAACCTAAAGAGATAGACATACTTGCCCAAGGTCACATAGAATGAGTTCACTGCAGACAATGCAACCTCTACCGTGTGCTGTGGAACAACTGGTAGGTAGGAGATGGAGCCCGTGCCCACTCTAAGAAGAGCCCCCCTTTCGGACTGACCTGGTAGCACTGAAAATGTCTTATAAAGCCAGGGCAGCCTAAGAAGCCGTGATCCCTGGAATGGGCCACCACCCAGATACAGTCTCTGGGCGGCCGAATGACTTCTCACTGAAGTGCTTGCCCGGAGGCCCGAGCGATTTCCTAATCCTCTTGCCTAATATCTTCTGAAAGGCTCATTTTAATAAGGGAATGAAGCTGTTTTAAGATTAGTTAGGTAGCTTATCATATGAGGAGCTAATCCCTAGCCTAGAAAAATGCAAAAGAAAAGGTTTTGACTAAAATCTAGTTTCCAGCTATAACCTGATGCTGTTCTAGGACCATTAGCGTTTGTTTTCTTTTTTTTTTTTTTTCCCCCTGGCCTTCAGTCTTGACACTTCCATATCTCCCTTCATTGGTGTGAACAGTACCTGAGCTCTCCCTCACAGCAGCCATCTCCCATAGACTGTCCTTGGCTGACCGGGTGAGCAGGTGCGGGTGGAGTGAGCAGAACGGGCTTGGAGTTTGGTTATGCAACTGTTAAGAAGTGAGATAAGTCTGCAGCTTCTGCCTCATTGTATGGATAACTAAGTTGTGTCCGAGGCCAGCACCCACGACAGTGGACATAGAGGTAGAGAAGGGGTATGTGGGATGCAGCGTGCCAGCTCAGTTCCTATCCCATGGGCCCTGAAGTAGCCTTTTGGTTTCCTACTAGATTTTACATAGAACTATTTAGATTATAGATGTACTTTTGTAGTAAATCTAGCAACTTAAAGGAACTCATGATTCCTTTTTTATTTTGGAAGCTATGTCTCTGGAACTGGGAAACCAATTACTTAGAAAACATGGAACTTTGGACTTTTTAATTGATCAAACATTAAAAGACAGTGAGCGAAAGTCCCAATCTAAGAGAGTGGCACAGATATCATGTAAGAGCAGCGCTGGGATTCGGGGTCTCCAGCACACAGCGAGGAGAGGCCATGTCTCGGCTTCTCCATCCACTCAGTCAGACCACAAAACTGCCCAGCTGTATGCACTGATCTAGGAGCTGAGAAGTTTGCTGTATAAATGCAAATTATTAATCCAAACACTTCTCCCTTAGTAGGTCTACACAGCCAAATAATCCCCCTCCAGAGAGGCAGTGGGGAAAACTCCTTCCTTTGCAGGTAGGAGGACTGCACACGTTCTCACTCTTAACACGTGTCAGGCTTCTAAAGCTTCCCATGGACCATACCTAATTCACAGGAAAAAAAACTAGAGTGCACAGCCCTGGTCTCCACAGTTTCAAAATAGCCTGCAGTAACTAGGCATTGTTATTTTTAACAGTTCTTATCCATAACTTGTTTGGGAAATTGTAATAAACTGATGCTCTGTTTGAATAATACTGTCAATGAGATAAGATACTTTGTAATTATTCTTCTACCTGGGGAACAGTCTCATTAGGAACAAGCCTGCTGTAAGCTTCAGATTGCTACATTGTAGACACTGCATTCTGCAAACTGCTGGAAGCACTGGGCCGAGGGAGGTTCATGTGTGAAATGAGGATGATGATATCCACAGGTGGAACAGTTTGAGGGTTTCAGAGAACACAAGAAAAGCTGATGCCACACATGCCCTGGCTCTCAAGGTGGCGGCAATGGGGAGGTGTCCCTCCCAAGCCAGGGCAACCATTCTGGGAAACAGTAAGTGTCCCTTATTGTATACCATTGCCTGCCTGGGATTTACAGAGGGTTTGTGGGATGAGCCACCCCATCTAGCTATGTGATAATTGAACATGTAGCAAATAAGCCTGTGAGCACCTCCACCCCACCCCATCCCGGAGCACCCCCTCAGCAGGCAGAGTTTGGCCTATATTCACTAGGCATCACTTCTGCCCGCTGTGGCCAAGTCGCTCTCCAGGGTAAGTCTCTTACTGATTTCACTAATTCTTTCTTCCCTCTGGAGTTGCAGGATACTGAACAATACTCAGCAAATTCTTTAAAATCTGAAATATGAAAGGAGTTAAATATGCTCTCAGGAAAAAGGGGAATCATTTTTAATTAGTATTTTCATATAAATTAAAGATCTGGCTTACTTAACCCACAGGACGGGATGCTGTGACTATCACCAATCCTTGCGGGCAAAAGGGAACTGACTTGACCACACATATGGTGAGAAGGAAGGGGGGCTTCCTGGGGCAGGGAGAATTCGAAAACAGATTCAGGCAGAACCCCCACTCCACACCCCCTGGGAAACGTGCTCACCCCACTCTTCCATACCCTTGTTTAATGTGTGACACTGTGATTGAAATTTGTCACTCTGGGAGTTACATCTGATGTTACAGCCTGAAGCGGAGCTAAACCAAAATAAACAATCTGCTCTATTCTGCTTAGACTAATACGACAGTGATGTAAGGCCCGAGACACTGGCAGCGGCAAAATGCTTTTCTCACACCGCATGCTGCAGCTGGGCCCCACGCGTTTCTATGGTGGGGATGGGTGGTGCCGGCTTATCCAGGCATGGAGAGAGTTGGGGAGGGGCTCAGGCAGAAATGGAAACTGTCCTTGCATGCAACTGAGTTGCCCTGTTTCTTCTGTCGGCCGGCAGCCCCCGCTCTTAAGTTGGACTTTTATAAGCCTTTTTAATTTTATTTTCCTGGGCGTGGGTGACCCCTATCTCTCTAATCCTGGAAGTTTTGCAAACACGTTAACTGGTGGTGGGAGTGTTCATTACAGTTCACATAAAGGGTGTGTGGCTCCAGCACATACCGATTTCAAGCTGCCCACACAGACGCATTTTCAGTTGTCTTACATTAAATACCCAATTTATTTTTTGGTACATATTCGGTTGCTTGCCAGCAAATGACTCTCTTGCTATATTCAATGGCTTTTTGCCAGAAAGATGACAGTTTCTTTAAAAAGGGGGTACCCCCTAAATAGCTTCCTTTCGGAAGAGCTCTTGGTGGGCCTCTGGTTTGTAGGCAGCTAACTCGGAGGGCGGCCTTTTTACAACTAGGTTTGGGGGTGCTAAATCTGTGCATTTTTCAAGCCCCAGTATTTTGGGTCCGAATGTAGTAGTATTCGCTTTCTTTCTTTCATCTTTTTAAATTTTCACACGGGGTCCCAAGATCCCTGCCATATGTAGGCTACTCATCCCAGCAGCACACGCAGGTTCTGCGATGCCAGTAGTCACAGTGAGTGCCTCATCTGGTCATCCTTCCATCCAAGATCCCTGGCTGTGGATGAGGGGGAAATTGCCGTACATAATTCAGTTAAAATTGCCAGCCTGAGTGGCCTGGATTAAATCCGGCTTCCTACATGCAATCAATTTTCAATTTTATCACCTCATACGAAGCAAAGCGTGAACGAGAGTTCGGGGAACTTGGATAGAGATAAAGCAGGGTCCTCTTTAATACACAGATGCTTGTTAAACCTGCTCATTATTCTACACTGTGATTTTCTCCATGTAAACCAGAGATAGTCTTAATTATCATATGCCTCTCCAGGATTTCTCCACGGAACAAAACCTAAGAGTAAGTTCATCAAAATGGAAGGTAGAAAATAGGAAGAAGCTAAAATGTCCTGTCCAGTTGCAAACTAGAAGTCCCTCCTCCACCCTGGCCATGAGCTCCTTCCCTTCCTCTACTAAAGCATCACCTGAGCCGGGAGACTCCACTTCCCGGTTCTCCAGCCTTCACTGCTCCAGAGCGAGCACTGGCCATAAAATGACGGGAGCTGTGTGAAGTGCCAAGGTCTAAAATGAATGCGGGCAGCAGCACCTGTGAAGCTGATAAGACATCATTTTGCATTTGACTCACTTTGCAAAAGGGGGTTTTTATGCCTCTCGTTTCGCTCCGCTCCCACACTCCTGTCACCCAGCAGCTCACATTGTAAAGAGCATGCCCTGTACTCTGTCTTAAGGAATGGGCACTACATAAAAGGGGAAGCATGGTGCTGTTAATTTTTCAGCACAGGTGATGCTCTGCCTGTGACACTAGATGGAAGAAAATGACCTGTAGCCGCCTCCTCCCCTCATCAATGCTCAGTCACACCTCTCTTTAAGCATCCTTCAGCTTTCCCGAGAGAATGATGGAAAACGGTCTTATCAGAAAATCTGGGAATTTTTCCCTTCCTCCTGCATTATGGCCTGGGTTGAATAAACATTGAAGAGGAAAACTGAGAAAAATGAAAGAGAGAAGGAAAAAGCTCTACCCCTAGATGGGGCTACTGTCCACAAGCAGAATGTGTCTGACTTTTAAAATTCAGTTCACTTAAAGTGAGACTGAAATTAGGTATCAACAGAGAATTTACAATTTAAATCAAACTTGGACTCATTTAATTAAGTCTTTAGTCCTGTGAACCTCATTCACAGCCTTAGCATTGAGCTGCTCTAGGACTCCGATTGATGAACTGCTTAATTTCCTGGGTGCCGTTGTTTTTTTTTTTTTTTAACCCACACATTAAATCCAAACTGTTGAATAAACTAGAAGGAAATAGTAGCCAGCAGTGAATGTTTATGTGTTCCAGGGTAACAGATTATGAATCATAAGAGACTGAGGGTGAGGGGAGACTTAACCAAAAGCTTGGTAAAGCCCAGGTGAGCTTCAATCTGTCCACTTGGGAAATAAGTCTGAAGAAGGAGAACTGCATTCCAGTTAACATCTGTAATTTGCATTGTAATTTGCATGAAAGCACTAGAAAATAATAGTTCTGAGAGAGCTTTTTTAAGGTTTCCAGAGGTAGGAGTACAGATAATCTTATTTAAGAAGCAAGCATAATAGGTCTTTCTGTAATTTCTGAGATGTTGAATCACAGGAGGGACAGGAAACTCTACCTCAAGTCATAAGAAAAAAAGGTTTGCATGTGTCTCCTTAGCCTTAACCCCCTTGCCCAGGACAGAAAGTGGCTGAAGGCAGGCTCTGTCTCAAGTGTTTCTTAATCATTCCCTTCAGCAATGGTGCATTCTTGTTACATGACTGCTAAAAGAGCTGACGTGTCTGTATTGCGTACCGGGTACCATTTTACATACATTGACTCATCTGCTCCTTAAAACCATGCTGTGATTTAAGTGTTATTATAATATTTACTAGAAAATTAAATAACTTATCCAAACTCATGATCCAAATTTTTAAACCTTATTTTAGATCCTTCTAAGACCCGGGCTGTTGTGAAAATTCAGTGTTACCCATAAATAAAACAGCGGGGCACTCTCCTCATCAGGAGGCAGTGTGCCTTAAAATAAGCTTTGAAGTCAAGAGAGACTTAGTGGCAACTCCCCCCTCCATCACTGCAGGCTGCATGCCTTTGGACAGGTCACTTAAGCTTTCTGAGCCTCAGCTTCCAAGTCTGTAAAATGGGTTAGCATCATTTCCACCTGGCAGGATTGTCACAGGGCTTAAATGAGATAACACATAAAAAGTGTTCAGGCCTCAGCCTGGATATTAACCCAGGTCTCGCAAACACAAGACCAGGCACCTTCCTCTTCCTCATCCTTCATGCTTCCCAGTATTCTCTCTCCCCTCCCACACTAGCAGCACCATTGCAGGAACTGTCCCTGTCCCACTGTGTTCACTGGCCCAGTACCACATACTACAGGGAAGAGACACAAGCCTGCGGCCCCGGGGAGCGCTGGTCCCTGCACAAACATGGTTCTCGTAGCTTTCACCCTGAGCTCGCCCTGCGCCAGGGCAGCCAGTCACCTTGACAAGAGCAAGGACTGAGTTACAGGTCAAGGTAAGTGGCAGAAGCAAATCACTTTGATCTGTAACTAGAGCCCAGGGAGTCCCATTCAACCCTGCAAGGGGACTGACAGGCACAAGCCCCACCCAGGAGCCAATGTGTCTTAGCAGTGCTTGGTCTAGAGCAGGAGGGACTGGATGAGGTGGGGGATGAGCAGCCTTTCGTTCAGAAGCAAAAGAGTGAGAAGAAAAACAAAACAAAAAAAAGGCTGAAAAAGAAACAGAGGGGAGAAGAAGCCCTGTTAAATGACAGAGCTACAAACAGAGCTCTTTTGTCTACTGAAGTGATGTAGGGGAACTGAGGTGGCATTGGAGATAGGCCTCCCACGGTGAGAAAATTGTACTGGGAAGAGATGGAGCGAAAGATACCCCTGAGGGAAGGGTTACGGTAAGCCGGGCACTGGAACAAGAAACCAGGAAGGCTGAGGGAGCACCTGGAGCTGGGATGGGCTCACTCCAGGTGTACAATATGCACATGAGGATAAGGCTGCACTAAGTCGGGGGCCACAGCTAGTAATAATAAGCAAATCACTGGGCATTACTCTCTGAGTAGGCACAAGTGAGGCCACTCAAACCACCCAGATATTCAGGGCGAGGCCTGGAGCTATCTGCTCCTGACAGGGGGCACAGCAATGCATCCTCGCAGCCCAGGAAAGTTCTGGCCCATTCGAGGAGGTAGCCGGGGATCCCACTGACTCTGGAATGCTTGGGGCTCTATCTTAGTCCTTGGAACTTTGGGAGAGTCAGATCCCTCATCTACAGAACTCTAGATATCTCTGTCCCTTGATTTTTCTTGAATCAGGAATGTCCTCTGATTTTAGAAATTCATTTGAACAATTTAAAGCCTTCTGGGATTCAGAGGAGGCAGCTTGGATGCCACAG